GAAGGACAGTGCGTCCGCGCTGGCCCGCCGCCGCCGGTATCATCCCCCACCGGCAGGTCCCTGCGGGCCGGTCGGTGCCCCCGTCACTCTGCAGGCCCCCCCCCAGTGCCGGCGACCCTCGAACGTCCCTGTGTCCTTGTGGCGGGAGCGCTGACCCGCTGACGGACGGGCAGCCACGTGTGTGTCGGCGGGACGCGCACCGTGGGTTTCCTCGGGAGCCGACCGGGTCGGGACCTCATGCACTCCCTCCCTGGGGCCTGTCTGTCTGCCTGTCGGCGTCTGTCGTTCCCCCCCACCCCCGGCCCCCGGGGCTCGTTTCTCGGAGGGGGAGCCTCGGCCACCCTCTCTCCAGGCAGGGGAGACCACGCCCCTGTCCTCTGTGTTTCTGACCGGGGTCAGAGACAGGGTTTGGGGGCGCGGCCTCTGTTGTGGACCCTACGCGAGCCGTCGGGTGTTCGGCCCCCCGCCAGTCAGTGCCCTCGGGGCACCGTCCCCGGAGTCCGGAGGCCGAGTGGACAGGCCCCCGCGCTCCGCCCTCAGCCAGCCCTGTCCTCCTGCCCCCTGCGGCCTGCCCGTGGGCCCCCGGCGTGTGGAACTCCGCCGACACCTCCTGCGGGCTCCGAGGGTTTCTCTTCCCCGCTTGGGTTCACCCACGCGATTTGTGACGTTTCAGGCTCTGCCCACAATCTGTGGAGGTTTCAGAAGGAGGTAGAGGCGCACGCCCCACCGGCCGCTTCGGCCAGAGGTCGTCGGGCAGCCCGCCCCCCAAGGCGCCCCGTTCGACGCCGTCCAGATCCGCGGGTCTTGCGGGGGCGCAGTGGATCTACTGCGTCCCATTAAACAACCCGGTGGGTGTTGCCAGAACAATGGCCGCCTAAGTGTTCTTGTCGCTTTTGCTGCTTCTGAGGGACTCAAAGTGACCGCACGTAGGAACGGGAGTAGCAGGTTATTGATTAACCCCGGGAGACGAACAGGACGTCTGTCAGCGGGAAACACCGGGCTGTGGGAGTTTCTGAGCTTAAAGCCCCTGCTCCTGGAACACGGCGTGGATTCCTCCCAAGTCTTTTCCCGGTGATGGTCTGTCCAGGGGCTGGGGCTGGGGGGCCCAGCGAGCACCAGGGTGCAGACCAGGGGCTCCCCGGGGGAGGACGGAGAGCCCTGGGTGTCTGCTTAAGGCCGGGGGTCTCCCAGTCCCCCCCCCACCCCGTCTCGCAGGCGCGAGAAGCCTGAGATAGATTCCCGAGGGACCCCGCACGCATCATCCTGTGCTCTGGGGCACTGGCTGTCCCCAGAGCCCTTCCTGAACAGCCGGGCCGGCAGAACACAGGTGCGGTCAGGTTCACGGCTGAGGTTCTGCTCTGCCCATCCTATAAAAAACAACAACATCCAGATTCCAAGCCGGCGCTTAGGGTACGTGGTTGTCCTCTGGATGCCCGAGTCCCGAGCCTCCAGCCGGTCAGTTCTCAGCATCTGTTCATTCGGTGTTCACGGAGTGCCTACTGTGTGTCTTGCACACACTGGGGGTGCATGGGCCCCCGTCAAGGAGCTCATTCTGGAGGAGAGAGGCCGAGGAGAAACAAGGACAGGAGCCCAGAGGGGCGCAGCCCGGCACAGGCCCCGGGAGGGTCCAGGCTGGAGGCCCTCGGCTGGGGAGGGCGGAGGTGGGCAGGGGGTTGGAGGGGGTCTGCCCGCAAGCCCAACCTCGTGTCTACCCCGAGGGGGTTCTGTGTGCGAGAGGAAACCGGAGGCCGTCCAGAGCGGCACCTCCCCCAGGGCTGCATGGACGGCCCTGAGGGGATCCCCAGGGGACCCCCCCTCCCCGGAGCTGTCTGGAGGCGGCTGCCCCTCCCCGGTGCCGCCTGTGTCCTGCCCGAGCCGCCAGCCCCAGGAGGCCAGGGCCAGGCGGTGGGGCCCAGTCACCGGGCACCTGGGGCGCTTCCTCGGGCCAGCGGCGCTGCTGCGAGATGAAACACATTCGCTTCGAGAAAGCAGAGAAATAACTTCTTTTGATAACCAGCGTCTGTTAGTTAATGGGCCTCTGAGAGCTGTATACAATTTAAACTTTTTATTAAAAAAGGAAAAAAAGCTCGTTGACTCTCCCGGGAGCTTACGCTGTGAAATTGTCAACTGCTCCAGTTTCTCCCTTTTAAACGTGACTGAACATACAATGGGGAGCATTAATTTTGTTTCGTTTTGTTTTGAACAAGAACTGTGGGTTTTACTTTCCCCGCTTTTGATTAAAGCTGTCTCGGCTTGTGGGGGGGGGCAGACTCACCGTGGGGGGCCAAGGAAGGCCCCTGGGCCCCAGACCCACCCTCCCACTCCCGCCCCAGCCTGGCGCCGGCCCACGGGCCCCTCTCCAGCGGGGTGTTTTTCCGTCCGCGTCAGAACTGGGACGGCTCCAGAACCCCCAGGGAGGACCGGGCCACAGTCCAGCCGGCTCCTTAGGGGTGGTGGCTCAGGGTGGGTCCCCCAAAGCAGCCCTGGACTGCTTCCCCCAGATACAGTCAAGGAGTCCCACCCTTGCCGGGGGAGCGAGCCCCCAGCGGCCACCCTGGAGGAGGCTCCGCTCTCAGGCTGGGAGGGAGGCCCAGCTGCCGCTGACCTGGGCAAGCCCCCCGCCCCTCTGAGCCTGACGGAGGGTCCTCATGGCAAGAAGCGGGCACACCCCTCGCCCACACCGCCGAGGCCCTGCGGGACGCAGTACCCGACCTGGCAGTGACCCCCTCCCTCCCTCGTGTGGGTGTGAGGGGTCACTGGGCTCACTCAGCCGCGGTCACTGAGGTTGCGCCACGTGCCGGGCACTGCCGAACAGGCTGGGAAAGGCCGCGGTGGCTGACGTGGTCCTTCCCTTTCACGCTGGCTGCTGGGGAGGCAGGGTCCGTGGGAACTCTCACTCCGGACCATGGTCAGGAAACACCACACACGAAATGTGCACGGGGTGCTGGGGGGGCGCACGGGGCGCTGGGAGGGCCAGGGACCAGGGCGGAGAGGAGGCTGCTTTCTGGGGACGGTGCTGGTGAGTGTCACCTGAGGGGGTGACACAGAGGTGACACGCAGTCTAAGGCGAAGCATGAGAAGAGCCACGTGTCTAAGGATCTGGGGAGAGAGGTGTTAGGCAGAAACAGTGACCTGTGCAAAGGCCCTGGGGCAGGCAGCAGCTCGCTGAGATGGGGAGGGAGAGAAGGATGCAGGGTGCAGCTGGGAGGAGCGGGGGGGCGGGGCGGGGTGGGACCTCGCAGACACGGGGTGGGGGTGGGGGGCTGGGAGCTGGGGTTTTATTCCCGGGGCCCGGGGAGCCCCCGCGGCATCCGAAGCGGGGCTGGGCCGCAGCACCCACGTAGGGGGCGCGTCCCAGCGGGCGCCAGCGCTGACCCCCACTGGGTGGCGTTTCCTTTCTCCCGGAGACGGTTGGCTTCCTTCCCCTCCACTCGCAATCCCCTCGGCTGACTTTAATAACTGGCAGGAACAGTTTTCGGGCTGTTTAATTTTATTAAAAAGATTCAAATTTGATGATAAATAGTGGCATGGTCGCCTCCAGCCTCAGACACGAAACTCGCTCAGCCGAGGACACGCCGCTGCCACCCACCCGCCTCGCCCCCAGGGACCCCCCGCCCCCACCCCGCCCGCCCGCCACTCTGGTGCAGTCTGAGGCCGCAAATAATTATTTCTGGGGCTTTGGTAAACACGCCGGGAACACTCGTCACTCTCTGAGACCCGCAGACGACACTAACTCGGTGGGTTTTTTTTTTAAAAGAAGGATGGGGAGGTGGGTGAGAGCACTGTCGGCGGAAGGACCAGGGCTTCCTCCTGAACGCAGCGTCAGCCTCACGGACGTTGCTACTCGAGGCCCGTGCCCAGAGCCGGAGACGGGAGTCGGCGGAGGAGGAAGGGGGTGCCCTCGGCGCGGACCGAGTCCCCGAAACCCCTGGGCCCACCAGGGTGCCGGTCACGTTCAGAAAGGACAGACGGGGCCCCGGGAACACGGGCGGGGTGGGGAGAGGCACGGCCTGCGCCCCCCCCGAGAGAGGGAACGGTCAGCGTCGCGCCAGCAGGCTGCCTGTCCTCCGGAGGCCGCCGTGTCGCCTGACCTCTCCTAGGGCGGCCTCAGGGACACACGCGGCCTGGTCTCCTCCCTGCGTGTCAGTCAAGGCCAGGGATGCGCGAAGACAGAGGACACCTGTGCAGGGCTAACCACAGAGCACGTGGGCATCACCGCGCTCATCAGTGTTGACTGCTTCCCAAAGGCTGGGAACCCCCTCTGTGCCCCAGAGACCTGTCCCCGGCAGCCAGCCCAGCGCGGCGTTGTCTGGGGCGGGCGAGGGCAGCCACGCTCCCCGGCGTGCGGGGTGGGGGGACATCTTCGCACGCGGTGCGCACAGCTCATGGCTTGCCTCACGGAAGCACGTGCAGGTGTGTGCAGGTGCTGGCAGGCAGAACCCGAGGAAGCTGGGCTTTCTCCAAAGACACGAGCCCCTCCGGAGGACAGGCAGCCAGAGCCCCCTCCCCGAGGGCCAGGAGCCCCGAGCAGCCTCTCCCCTTCCTGGCTCCAGTCCGAGCGTGTATCGCGAAATTCAGATGAATGGTCTTTAAGCAACCGCCCGCGCAGGGCAGGCCGGCGGCAGCATGCCCACGCGGAGCCTTGCCCCCACGGCACCAGATCCCAAGGGTGCAGGGAGGGAAGGGGGTGCCTCTGAGGTCCAATCCCTGGCGCTGGTCCTCGAACCGCCCCCGAAAATCGGGGGCGAACATCCAACACTCAAAGCGGTTGATTGACGTCGCCGCGGCGCCCCGGCTGCTGGGCGCACCTTGGCGACCGGCCGTGGCGCGGACTCTGCAGGTGCTGCCGAAGTCAGGGGCTGGGCCACCAGGACGAGCCGACAGTGGCAGGGCCCCTGGCGGTCGGTGACACGGCACGGGAAAAGAGCAGGACAACCTCCCGGACAGGGGGCGGAGCCTGCGCCAGGAGGGGGCCCCCGGGGTCAGGCAGGGTCCCCCTTTCATAGCCACTGGAGGAAGGCCGGGCTGCGAACCAGGAGCAGGAGGAGCAGAGGGGCCCCTTGAGGACAGCGCCCCCCACTGTGGAGACGGGGCGTCTGCAGCAGAGGCCTGTGCTGTGGGGGCCGGGCAAAGTCCCTGGCCGCCCCACTGCAGAGCACCAGGGGCGCTTGGTAGGAGGTGGGGCGTTTCTCGGGGGTGTCGGGGCTGGACCCGTCGGTGGGCCTCTGTCCGATGAAGAGCAGGCTTTGCCCGAGGGGGTCCCGCTCCATCCTGAAGAGCTCATACTCCACGTGGGGGAGCCTGATGCCCAGAGGCAGGCACCCGTTGGTGGCCGTGACATCCCGCTCTGTCCCCGGGGACCAGGTGCCCGGGCCCCCGCAGCTGCTTGGCTCAGAGGAGTTGAGCATGGCCGTGGTGGCCTGGTCCATGGGGGTCACGCGAGCCTCTGTGACCTGGAACTCCAACTCGGTGCCGCCGGGGACCTTGGCGGACGGCGTGCCCCCGGTGTAGCGGCCGGCCGCGTGGACGGTGAAGGTGGGCCGCCGGCAGGCGGGGTCCGAGAAGTGGCGGTAGTGCCCCTCCCAGGAGCGGTCGTGCCCGTGGAAAGTGAAGAGCCTGGTGAGGAAGAGCACGGCGGGGCGCACCTCGCACCCGGGGCTGACCCAGCGGCCGCCGAGGCGCAGGGGCAGGGCCGTCTGCGCGGGCAGCACGGGCGGGTGGTGCTCGTCGGCGTGGGCGAGGAGGCCGCAGGCCGGGCAGGGCCGGGCGTGGTGCTGGGGAGACAGACGGAGGCAGTGGGTGTCCCGGGCGGGGAGTCGGGGTGCACCCGGGACAGGGCGTTGGGGCGGCCTACCCTGTCCGGGGTCCCCCATCACTCTCTTCGCTCCCTGCCTCTGGCCCCACGGCTGCTTCGCGCTTCCCGGACCGCGGTGAGCTCCCGTCTCCTCTGGGCCTTCACCCCCGCCGTCCCTGCCCCCCGGACCCGCCCCAGGACGCAGGCTGGCCGGCTCCCGCTTTGTCCTCCAGCCCTCGGCTCCGGGGCGGCCTTGGGAGACCTTTCCTGGCCACCCTGCGCCCGGCCGCCCTCGGGTCCCTCCCAGCACTCAGAAACTCGTCACCTCTCCCTCTCTCCACCCTCCCGGAAGCAGGGCTGTCCCTCGGTGGCCGCTGTCCCCAGGGCCTGGTTCCCGGAGGGAACAGGCTGCTGAGCGGTGAAGGAGTGAGAAACGCCCGGACTTGACCGAAGCCGCCCCCCGCCCCCCCGCTGCCCCCAGCCCGCGTGGTCCTGAGATTCGGCCGTCCAGGTTTATGGCTGTCTCCTCGCCCCCGAGACCCTCTCTCCCCCCTCCCAATGGCAGGTGCCTCCGGAGGGCCGGGGCCGTGGCTGGCAGGTCCTCCTGCGACCGTGATGTGTCAGAGCCGCGAGAGCGGAACCAGCGGGCCGGGCGGCGGCCAAGGACATGGCCGAGACGGCCTGAGCCCCTGCAGGCCGGAACCCACCGCCTTTCCACGCAGAACACTGAGCGCCCCTGCCAGGGGTCTGCGTCTCCGCCACCGGGAGGAGGGGAGGCCGCGTGTGCTCAGAAACCCCCCCTCGGAAGGCGGGCACCCCTCCTGCCCCACCTGGGACAGCGGACGTGGCACCGGGGGTGCACGTGCTCACGCCCACGGAACGCCACCCACTGGAGCCTGGGCCGAGGGGATGGGACACCGAGGTGCCCACGGCGGTGGCATTTGCAGTGGGGACAACCGGCCACCCCCGGGGTGTCGGGCGCAGCCACAGCGCGCCCTGGCCCTGGGCTGTGACTCTGTTCCCTCCCTGGGCGGCCTCGGTCACAGTCCACAGTCGTCCCTGCCGTTCGGGGTCTCACGAGCTCGGTTTACAGGGAGACACGTCCGCAGGACCCAGGTGCCGGAACGCATCGCGCAAATGTGTGTGTGGGGGGGTGTCGGCCTGCACCTGGGAGTGCAAGAGGCCCGCAGAGGCCGGAGAGGAGCTCCCTGCAGACTCCTTGGTGGTGGTGTGGCCGTGGTTTTTGACAGAGAGCCGCTGCCCGGCGTTTAGTCCAGAGCCTCCCTCGAAAGGGGACCGTCCTCGGCCCAGTCCCCTGTCCGAGCTCAGTGGGCAGGGGGACCAGCAGACACTCGCGTCTGCAGGTCGGGCCGGCGGGGGGAGGGGGCTGCTTGGGGGGGACCCGGCTGGGAAACGCACTTGTATTTTTTTTCCTCGTGAAAACAAAAGACTTCCACCGATAGCTCCGTGGTGGCGTTCACGAGGAACAAGGGGTGTTTGGGGGTTCTGGCGCAGAAAGGTCGTCCTGGGGGAGGAAGGGCATTTTCTCTTCCCTTTGCAGGCGGCCACGTTGTACCAGGAAGCTTATCGTTTCCTCCTACGACGAACCTGCCCTTGCCTGGGTTTCCAGCGTGGGGAGGGGTGTGCTGGTTTCCATCTGGGGGGTTCTGACCCGGAGACCTCGGAGGCGCTTGGACATGCCGGTAACGGGGGCAGAGAGGCTCGTGTGGGCCGGAAGCCGGCGGGCTGGGTCGCCCGCGGGGGGACGGCTGATGGGGCGCATGGACAGGAGAGGGCGGGCGTTCCGACCCGCACCCTGACCGTTGTCACGCGGATGCGTGTCACCACAACACGACGCACTGCGTCCGAGTGACCCCGAGGGCAGAGCTGTCTTCTGCAGACAGAGCGCCGAGGAGGCTGCTGGGTGACTCGGGGCAAGCGTGTTGTTTCTGGAGGCCAGAGGCCCACCGAGAACCTACGCAGCTCGCGGGGCAGGAGGAGGAGGAGGAGCGGCAGGCCCTTCTCTGGCGCTTTCGCCGGGGGGCGAAGGGAGGGATCCGTCTCTATCGAACACCTTCCGGGCGTCCTCCCGCAGAGGCCCGGCGCCTCACGTGTTAATAAACACGGCCTCCGCCGGCGCAACGCATGCTGGTGCGGGAGCCGGGTTCCTCCCGGGGTAAGCCTGCTGCATAAGCTGCTTCTCCAACAGCACATGCAGGTTCTAATTAACCCCCAGAGGTGACACCAGGCTTAGACGATGTTGGCTGAGTGCCGGCTGATTGATTAGGATTCTATACCCAGGCAATGAATTTGGGGATCAAGTTGGTTTTAAATTAACTTCTGAAAAACGTTCATGTTTATCATGTGGTCCGGGCCGTGGGCGAGGCCGGGGCCCCACTGAGCATGCGGTGCCGCCGGGCCTGTTGCTCGGGGGTCTATACGCCTGTTTCCTTCTCTGAGACGACCCTCCATCTTTTTTCCGGAGAGGGGCATTGAATGCAAGGTGCATGCGTCTGGCGTCCTTCGCCGGGGCACACACACCCACGTGTCCTGCTTCCCAGTCCCGTGACAGGCCGCACTGGCGCCCACGGTGGGGCCCAGGGGCAGGAGCCCACCGCCCGCCGGAGCCCAGCCTGGGGGGACACGAGGGTGGCGTCCTCTGCGCCCGGGGGTCTGTGCTGCAGAGGGGGCGGGCTCCGGGCATCACCCCCCCACCAGCGCCTGCTCCTAAGGAGGGGTGGCCGCAGCCCAGGCTGGAGCCCCGGCTGCCACAGAGGGGTCTCCTTGTAAGGTCTCGAGAAGAACGCAGGCTGGGTTTCTGGTTCTGAGCATGTCTGGTGCTTCTCCTCTGCCCCCCACATCCTGCTTTGGGAGGAGGGGGTGGACTCGTCGTCCTCAGTCCCCCACTGTAGGGTGCTCTGACAGGTGGCCGGCTGCTCCGGGGGCGGGGGGTGAGAAGCTGCCCCGTCTGGTCTAGTTCCTTGGTGTCCAGTACACAGTAGGCACTGAATATGTGCTGAATGATGGGACAGTTGCCTCCCGGCTCCAAGAGCACCCACAGGGACGCCCAAACTCACCTGTCCAACCGCCCCTCCCTCCCTCCCTCCCTCCATCCCCCCTTCCAGAGACCACCCCTCGGGTGCCAAGCACAGACGTTCTTAACCTCGAGCCGGAACCTTGCCTTGGCGTCGACTAACCTCTAATAAAAGTTAAGGTTTCTTCTGGCTGTGAACGCAGACCACAAACTCCGGAAGCTTCCAGAACCCCGGGCCTCGTGGCCTCCCTCCTCCGAACTGTCTTCCAGACGCCGGGAACTGTGCTTACCCTCTCACGGCCACTCGGAGATTAGGGGAGAAGGAAGGACTCACGCGCCTGGTGCTGGTACGTCACCAGCTGATGCTCTGAGATGCGGGCACCTCCTTGAACGGCACTGGCCTCTATTTAAATGAGACGTATTTCATTTTATGCTTTCACACACACCTCGCTGCACAGGGGTCCCTGGTCTTCCTCAGACTCACAGGAGCCATTACGAGGCTCCGCCCACACTGGCCACGAGGCCCCGCCCACACTGGCCGCGAGGCTCCGCCCACACTGGCCAGGCTCTCTGCCAGGTGCTAGGCGCAGGGGGCGGGACACAAGCGGAATTCAGTTTCTTTCTCCCTCGCTTCGGGACGGATGGAACGTCAGTGACGGCTTCATTTAAAATCTGGGTAAATACGCTTACGTGATAGTCACTTCCGAGTCCCCAGGGTGCCTTTCAATGAGAGGGCAGCCCCCTTCGCACCGTAGCCTCCGTCCCGGAGGGTGGTCCGCGGCCTGCCGGGGAGCCGGTTAGGACTGCACGGCCCCAGGGCGCCAGCACAGCCCCGCGGAACCCGGCTCCGCATTCCACCGGGACGCCTGGGAGCCAGGGGGGCGCTCTGAGAATGGCCCGAGTTGGAGCCGCGCCGCCTTCCCCGCGGTCAGCACGAAGCAGCGCGCAACGCCTCTGGCGCAGGGCCAACCCCCAGGGGAGTGCACCACCTGGAGCGTTAGGGGGCACCTCTGAGCGCTGTGTGGCCGCCCAGCAGGGCCTGGAGGACGCCTGCCGTCTCCTCGGTTCAGTCACCGACACTGACTGGCCTTGGCTGTGAGCGGCCCTGGCTGTGAGCCAGACCCACCGGGCTGGGTGTGGGGACAGGCGGAGGGGCAGGCTCTCGCCCCAGTGGAGGGTCTCAGCCTGGAAGCCATAAGCAAGGAAACAAACACAGCCCAGGGCCGCTGAGGGGGGCAGAGCCTGCCCAGGCCCAGCAGAGGCAGAAAGGGGCCCCCAGAGGCCCTTGAGGAGGAGCCAGGAGGGTCAGACGAGGGGAGGCTGAAGAAGGGCTCCTTCAGGAAAAAAGCCAGCCCTGTGAAGACCTCAGAGAAGACAGCTCAAGCAGCGGGAACAGCATGTGCAGATGTCCTGCGGCCAGCAGGCCGGGCTGGGGAAGCAGGGAAGGCCCCGGGCGGGGAGCGCAGCAGGTGAGGCCTCCCGGGCCTGGCTCGGGGCCTGCCCTCCGGGGCCCCACACTCACCAGGGCGCTCTGCAGGGGGCGCTGGTAGCCGGTGGGCCGGTAGTGCCGCCTCTCCGCCTGGTCGGTGTGGATGTCCCCCAGGTACAGCTCCTCCACCAGCCGGGGCCCAGCCCGGGGCGTCGGCTGCAGGCGGTGCTGCACGCGGACCAGGCTGAGCTCGTGCATGGTGAAGCCCAGGGCGGCCATGCAGTCCCTCTCCGCCCGGGCGCTCAGCAGCTCATAAAGGGCACCGGGCACCCAGGCCCGGGCAGGGGGCAGCTGCTGGGCACAGTCCCGGCCCGCCTGGGTCCGGTTGAGGCGCCCGGTGATTTCGAGCAGGGCGCGGCGGCTGTGGAAGACGATGCCGGCCTTGTGCAGGTGGTAGTCGGCCTCGGTGGCGCCCCGGGTGACCCAGGAGGCCCGGCGCAGGCGGACCTTGCCCTTGATGACCAGCGAGTGGGCAGGATCCCGGCAGAGGGGGTCCCTGTAGTAGAACTGGTAGGCTCGGAAGAGGCGGCCGGGGAAGAAGGTGTAGGATCGGGTGAGGAACTCCGGCCCAGGGCGCACCTCGCAGCTGTCGGGGGGGGGGGGGGAAGGGGCAAGAGGGGGAGGGAGAGCAGTGAGAACCTGCAGGCAGCCCCTCCCCTCTGGGCGGGCTCCCAGGGTGGGCTCCCACCCCCTCCACCCCAGTGCAGACCTCAGCTCAGGGCCGGCCTCCTGCAGCCTCAGTTTCCCTGAGTGATCCTAGTAAGCTCCACTCTGGGAGCTGGGGGTCTTCCATGCCATGCCTCGTGGCTTCAACACAAGGCCTTGAGCCCCACCCTCTGCTCAATCCTAGTCACCTCCTTCCATTGACCCTCTCCCTTGTGGGTCGCTGTGGACCCCATGGGTGCCCTGGAGTGCACAGGCTTTGCAGCTGGAGACCTGGGCCCATTCCTACTTCTGACCCTCACCGGGGGCGTGAGCCCGGGGAGCGGCCCTGCTCCCTCCTCTCAGGACATGCCCCCCACGGCGGTGTCCCAGAAAGGCACTGAGACGGGCTCCCGGGCGCCATTCAGGGGGCCCCTACACTGAGAGGTCTGGAGACGCCTGGCCCAGACCAGAGCCCGGGACCCGGGGCCTGCCTGGGTCCTGGCCAAGGGACCGCCGATGGGCACAGGTGGTCGGCGCTCAGGTCCCGTCTCTCTTGCAAGGCAGACTTGCCTGACCAGGCGTCCCCCACACCCGTGACGGGTTTGTGGGTCGGAACCAGAGGTCAGGCAACGGTGGAGAGGGTCAGGCCGTAACTATTTTTCCTTTTGCGGGCCCGTTGGTCTCTGTCACACCGACTCAAGGTTGTGGCTGCAGAGCTACGGCAGCCAGAGGCCTGTGCAAATGTGTCCATGGCTGTGTGCCAATAAAACTTTATTTGCAAGAACAGGCGTGGGCCCTGTTCTGCTGGTGGTGAGCACAGGGTGGGCTGGGGCACTAAGAAACCCCGAGTGACTGCCAGACCCATGCCACACCTGGGCTGGGGCAGGGACACCCCTGGGACTCTCCTACCACGGGCCCGGGAGGGTGTGTGGGGGGTGAGTCCAGGGGCGGGGGAAGAGCATGCAGCTGCCCTTTCAACAGTGTTCCTCTGACCAGGGCCACCTGCACTGTTACTTTCTCTGTGTTTGTCACACCTGGGCTGCTGGCGGGCGCACACCCAGCACACACACGGCCCGTGATTTTGTCTCTCCAGGTCTCCGGTTGTGCTAAGGAGAAAAATCTCTGTGGGTGCTCATGCGTCCCTGGCGCCGACCTCCCTTCCCCCCACAGATAGCGGCCGCAGGGCCTCGGGCAGGCGAGGGATCTAGTGAGCATTGAATTATGTTGCTTTGTTTCCATTGACTTTCTTTTTGCTTTGCCTCCCATTTGTAGCGAGTGGCTCTGCTCGCCATACCCAGGGCCGTATCACGCTCCCTTTAAAAATAATTAGCGCACACAGTGAATGTGCTGTTTACTGTGTACCAATTACACCTCAATAAAGCTGTACGAATAAATGAATACATTTAAGGGAACAAAAGCAAGTTGTTCTGAAGCAACTGTTGGGAGGCAACGCCAGCTCAGGTGTTTGGTAAGCGCAGCGAGGGTGGCACGCATGCCTGGCGGTGGCCTCGGTGCCCCCAGTACCCCCTCCCCCGAGTCTCAGACCAGGCAGGCCCGAGAGGGCACGGTGTGCCTGGGGGGGTCGCAGCAGGTCACGCTGGACACTCAGTGGTCCCCAGACTCTGGATCCTTCTCTGCACTACTCCAGGAAGCAGTAAAGCCTCTCTGGAAAGCACACAGGGGAACTTTCTAGGAAGAAGATTCTAGAAGTTTCTAGAAGCCCTGTTCCCAGAATGCTGCTGTCCCAGGGCAGGAGCAGCCTGCAGCTGGACCTCACCCTTCCCAGGCCCCAGTTCTGTCTGAGATGACCCCGGCCGGCCGTGCTTTTGGGCGAGAGCCCGGGGCTGCGTCCTCCCTCCCCCTGGGGCCACAGCAGATGTTTGGCATCTGCTTCCTCCCTGACCTCAGAAGGTTCGGGAGGAGCGGGAGGGTCTACCCAGCCCCTGATCCCAGAATGGGGCTGGTGGGAGGGGGTGGTGGAGAAAGAAGCTTTGCACGAGCTGTGGAGGAGGCCACTGGCTCCTTCTCCCCGCCCCTGCCCCGCAAGGAGGGACTCGGCTGGCTGCTGCGGAGAGCACTTCCCACCCGCGAGGGCAGGGCCCAGGGCCCAGAGCCCATTGCCCCCACGTGGCAGCGGCGTGAGGCTGGAAAGAGAACAGACAGGCAGGCGGGACCCCGGGCACTCTCCAGCCCGCCACATCCTGCCGCGGGACCTTTGCACCAGCTGCTCCGGCCGCCTGACTCTCCCCCTGGCTCTCTGGATGGCTGACTGCTCTTCTTTCACCCCTCAGCTGCATGTCACCACCTCCGAGAAGCCCCCCCCGACCACACTCACGAAAACCCTGCTAGGCACTCATGGTCACACCCTCGGCTTTATTTCCCTCATGTTCGAGCTCAGGACCATGCTGAGCCTGCGTTACTTGTTTCTGTGCTCGTGTGTTCCGGGCTCGTCCCCACGGTGCTGGCTCACACGAGGCGCCCAGCGAGAGCGGGCAGAGTAGGCGCCGGACGTGTGGACCAGGTGGACTGCACGCACTCGCTGATTGCGGCTGGGGCGGGAGGTGCCCGGGGCGGCGCCGGCCCCCCGGACTCGCTCTGTGGGGGGGGCCGGCGGCGGGCCCCTCGCGCAGCTGCAGGCGCTGTGCCTGCCTCACGGGTGTGGGCACGGAGGCTCGGAGACCGGTTTCCCAGCCCGGGGGCTGGAGGTCCAGGGGCCCCTAGGGCCTTACCCAGTGGAGATCCAGGGTCCCTCGAGGCGTGGGGGCAGCAGTGCGGTCACGGGCGCTCTGCTGGCCACAGGCTGCTGGCAAGGTGGTGCCCAGCGCAGGCGGTCGCGGCCGGCTGTCCCGGCCGCCTCTGCGGTGCGGGCTGCAAAGCAGACAGACCCTGGGGTAGCACAGCGATCCCAGCGTTTCCCAGGGGCGCCACGTGCCCCGGCCTCCCCCTCTGCCCACCCCCGTCCCCAGCTCCCCCTTGGGCCACCCCAGTCCCCAGGCAATGATGGGGTGATAAAAATTGGGGCGCATGGAAGGAGCTTCAGAACTCATCTCCTGGGTTCCCTGATGTGACCACCATGGAACCCACGCCTCCTGGAGCAAGGCCATCCTAGCTTCTGGAAGTTACTGTGCCGAGCCGGACCCCTGGCAGCCCCGGCCCTGCTCGCACTGGCTGCTGGGGCCGAGCACCCCCGGTGGGAGCCCAGGGGCCCCGCACCCCTGGGTAGAGGCACTTTCCACCCCCAGGGCAGTGGGGGTGTCACCCCCACACACACCCAAGGAGTCCAGCTGACAGCCCTGCCTTGGAGCCAGGCCCCTCCTCGGTCCCTCTCTGCCGCCTGGGTCCCAGGCCAGCGCCTAGCACACAGTGGGTGCTCAGGAAGTGTGTGGTGGGCGCTGGGGCTGACGCAGGAGGCCCACAGTGGGCCGGGGCTGAGCAAGGGTGTGAACGGCGGCTGGGTGGGCCCCTGTGAGTGCCCTCGATGTGGAGACCAGCCCGGCCCCGGCCTGGCGTCGGGTGCTCCCTCTCTGCTCTGACGCTCAGGGGTGAGAGCTCCTGGGCCCTCACAGCGGGAGAGGGGCGACCCCACTGGAAACCACCTCTGCTCCACAGCCCAGCCCCGGCCCAGCCCCGATGGTGGCGTTTTGTGGGAGCCTGGCGGCCAGCAGCGTCCCCGTGTGGCGGCAGCGGGCTGTGCTCACGGGCGCCCGGCCTCCACCCTGGCCCGCCCCCACCAGGGCTCTCTGGACCCTCTTCCCCCCGAGCCTGTGGCCTAAGCCAGTCGGGGGCTCCAGTCCTGGCAAAGGTGTCCGCCAGCCCAGGGGGGCGGGCCCTGGTGGCCCAGGGGGCCCCAGGAAGGCTGGGGTGCTGCGTGGAGAAGCGACCAAGTGGCCTGTTCTGTCCCTTCCCACTGTACACTCACACCTTCCCATCGGGGAGCGGGGGCCGGGGGAGGCTCGGGACACGGGGCCCCAGCAGCCGCTCGGGAAAAGGAGGCACAGTGGATTTCTCGCTTCCCCGGAGGTCAGGGGTCTCATCCAGAGACTCTCGGGGTCCCCACTGAGCAGCTGACACGGCCGAAGCCACGAGGGTGGTGGGGACGGTGACGAGTGTGGTCCCTACGAGTCGAGCGCTGACCCCGTGTGGTTTTATGCCTTATCTGACCTTTGCAACCTCTCTCAGACACGGGGTCTGCGGCAGCACCCTCCTCGGGGACACGGGCTCAGCCGGCACGGGGCGCGGGGCGCCCAGATGTGACAGCGCTGGGGCTCCACTCCAGGCCGCCCCGCTCCGGCCTGACGTCTGAGCCACTGCTCATCTCGCGTGGGGGGCCAGGGGAAGGGTCTGTTTTCAAGACTCGGTGGGATGCCAGGCGCCCCACCCGCAGTGACGGACGGAAGGGGGAGGAGAGGGTAGGAATGCAGGGCAGCCTGGGTCCCTGCTGTGGTCCTGCTTTCTCCTCCAACTGCTTTTTATTGGCTTTAGCCAGCCAAGCAGGAGCCGTGAAAACAAACAGCCACCGAACCGAGGCTCCCCGAGAGCTCCCAGGGCCCCTTCGCCGAGGGGCTCCCTGTCGGGGGAGTCTGGAGTGAGAGGAGCCTCGGCTGGTTCTGGAGGGGCTCGGGCACGCGCATTTCGCGGGGACAGGAGCCGCGCCATGGCGGGGGCGGGCGTCGTGGGCTCCGCCGAGCTCGCGTCTCGGAGCCGGGTCCCGAACCAGCCCTGAAATGGCATCGGGTCCCGCGGGGCTCGGTTTCTCGAGGAGCTGCGTTTCTGTGCGCCCCCCCCCGCCCACGCGCTCTCTCCGAAGGAACGGTCCTGAAGCCTCGGGCATGTGCTGCCGGCGCTAAGGGTTCGTCTTGCTCCGCTGCAAGAAATTAGGGTTTCATGACGTCGGGAGATGACGTCATGCAGCGAACGCCCCCTGCGTGCGGAACACGCACGCGCAGAACGGAACACCCAGCGAGACAGCGCCCCCGCCGCCGCCGGGCGGAGCCGTCCAGGCCGCGTCCAGCCCTCGGTCTCGGGAAGAGCACGTGACATTCTCTCCGCGGCCGCTTTTGAGGAAGCCTTTTTACTTTCTTGTCTTCTCTTGCTCCCCCGCCCCCACGCTTTGTTTCCCTAGAAAAGTCTTCCCTAAAGAAGCAGCCGCCAGAAGCAGATGGTGCGGGGGGCGCGGCTGAGCAACTTGTCGTAGGGACCTGGTAGACGGGCTCAAATGCGTGGGCCAAATTGATTTTTATCAACCATGGATTTTTAATGAACGGTGGCGTCCACGTACCGCCATCCATTATTTACTGTTTACCCGCTAATTAAAAATTATGCTGCTTTTGCACTCGTACGAGCAGGGACATTTGAAATTAGACAGCATCGTTCACATTACCTGCGGAAGTAAATCCGGAGCGCCCAACTGCTCAGCCCGGGCCGCTGGGGTTTAAAATCCGGTCTGCTGCAGCCCGGTCTCTCGCCGGGACTCGGAATTCCAGGAGCAGGCCCGCGGCGTGGCACCTGCCCGGGGCCTCGGGGGAGGTGGACTCGCTCCGGCTCCACCGAGTGCGGCACTGGGCTGAGACTGTCTCGGGTCGGCTGCTCTGTCTGCGTGGTGGTGGGGACGCCCCGCCGTCCGGCCCCGGGGAGGCGGCCTGCCAGTGCCTCGATGGCGCAGTGCCCCACGCCCACGGTTCCTGGGGACCCACAACTGGCACGCATGTGCACAAGCAGACAGTGGTCGCCGCCCCGTTTTTCAGATGAGGAGACCGAGGTTCAGAGGGGTGGAGGGCCTTGGCTGGCGTCCCTCTCCCCCAACTGGTAAAATACACGTAAGGTAAAACCCACCCTTTTTACCATTTTAAAGGGCACCGGGAAAGCTCAGTGGCGTTGACAACGCTCACCAGGCTGTGTGACCATCACCCCCGTCTCCTCCCAGGACGTTTCTGTCTCCTCCCAAAAGACACCCCCAACTCATTAGGAGTCACCGTCCCCTCCCCGCTCCTCTCCGGCCCCAGCACCCACAGCTCTGCGCGCCTGGCGCGTCGCAGAGGCGGGAGAAACGCAGAGCGGCCCTGTCCTCAGCGGCTCGGCACAGCGCTCCCGGGGTGGCTGTGGCTGTTCCCGTGCCCCAGGGGCTGCGAGTGGCCTCCCAGGCCCACAGTCCGTGACAAGAGGGGGTCCCACTCCGGCGGGGCAGGGGGTGGAGCAGCATCGCGGGGTTCGGGCCCAGAGCAGATGGAGACGTGGTAGGTCTTCACAGACAGCAGAAGCCAGGCACCCCTTTCCGCACCCCCGACCGGCATGCTCCGGGGCTCCGGAGGGTGGGTGCCAGGGTCTGTCAGGGGCAGCCGCCTGCGCGTCTATCGCGTGGTGACGCGCTGATTTCAGAGGGTGTGAGAGGCAGCCGCTGACCGGAGCAACCGTGTGCTGCCCCTGCCTGACGGCCAAGGCCAAGGCCAAGGCCAAGGCTGAGCTGTAGGAGGGGGTGGGTCTGCTGTGAGCAGCCTCTGGGACAATTTCAAGAGGCTCCACATTCACATCACGGGGATGCCAAAAGGAGAAGACAAAGAGCAAGAAATTAGAAGCGTATTTGAAAAAATAATGAAGAAAACTTCCCTCGTTCGGTGAAGAAATAGACATGCAAGTGTAGAAAGCACAGGGTCCCAGATGAGATGAACCCAGAGAAGCCCACTCCAGGACAATCGTAATTAAAATCCCAAAGGTTAAAGAGAAAGAGGATCTTAAAAGCAGCAAGAGGAAAGTTAGTTATGCGCAGGGGAGCTCCCATAAGACTGTCAGCTAGTTTCTCAAAAGAAACTTTTCAGGCTAGAAGGGATTGGCAAGAAATATTCAAAGTCATGAAAAGCAAGGCCTGCATCCATCCCCTCTACCCAGCAAAGCTGTCGTTTAGAACTGAAGGGCAGATAAAGAGCTTCCCAGACAAGAAAAAAACTAAAGGAGTTCATCATCACCAAACCATTGCTATATGAAATGTTAGAGGTATTTATTTAAGAAAAAGAAGGAGATCAAAACTATGAACAATAAAATGGCAAAAAAAAATACGTATCGATCAACAATTGAATCTAAAAAGCACACTAAGAAACAAGCAGAACAGAGACAGAATCATGGACACGGAGAGTGTTTTGACGGTTGCCAGATGGGAGGCAGCTGTGGGGGAGGATGGGGAGGGGGAGGGGATTAAGAAGCACAAACAGGCAGCTGCAGAGGAGCCACGGGGACGTGAAGCTCAGTGTGGGAAGTGGGGACGCCAAAGAACTTACACGTGTGACCCATGGACATGAACGATGGTGGGGGGACTGTCTGCGGCAGTGAGGGGTGCTGGGGGCAAGGGGGCCAAGGGGGGGAAATCAGGACGACTGTAATAGCATCATCAATAAAGTATAATTAAAAATAAATAAATGCGCTCTACACATGGAAAAAAAAGGACTTGATCTGAACTTGATTTTGAAGTGTTAAGAACCACTCTTGGGAGGTAGTATGTAGCACGTAGATGTAGGCGTGACTCGGTGGGCACGGTAAGTGACCTGAGGGGGTGCTCGAAGGCAGGGGGCCTGGCCGGAGGTCCCCTCATCGCTCCACCTCACGGCTGCCTGTGCTGGGCTCGTTCTCACAAAGCACCTGCGCTGGACGGCTTTAAACCCCAGAGCTGTGTTCTCTCCCAGGCTGGGGACCAGACGTCTGAAGTCTCAGCCACGGTCCCTCCCCAGGCCCTGTGGGAGGACCCTTCCTGCCTCTGGTGGCCTCTGGTGGCCGCAAGCATCCCTTGGCTTGTGGCCCCATCACCCCAACCTCCGCCTTCTTCCGCCCACGGCCCTCTTTCCTCTGTGTGTCCACGTCTCTGCCTCCAAGTCGCCTGCTCCTTCCTCTTGCAAAGACACCAGACACCCAAATCCAACCCGTCCTCCTTTTCGTTGGATGACATCACTAGAGTCCCTGCCTCCAAATGCAGTCACACGCACAGGGACCAGACGTTGGGATTTGGACACGTCTTTTCGGAGATACAATTCAACCCAGGGCCCCCTGAAGTCCGGGTCCCCCCCGAAATCTCTGTCCCTCCACCCTTCCACCCACAAACGCCGAATGGCTGTTGTGCGCTCTTCCACGGCGTCACCGCGGGAAGCCCACGATGGCATTTTGTCCCAGTACCGGGGATGCGAATTTGGACCACGCGCTTAAGGAGGAACCTGCTAGGTCTCCCCACTGTCTACTCGCCATTGTTCTCTTTATACGTGATCATTATCTTAGGGGGTAGGCGTAGCAATAATGCAGAGATCCTGGTTTTCATTATGCGCCCCCCTCCTCCAATTTCAGCATCTGTTGGTCACCGTGGATGGTCCTTGCCTACAGCAGCTGTCACCACGGCGTCTTCCGAAAGGCCGCTCTCCAGTCCCACGGCCTCTCTGAATGTGCTGGTCGGAACCGTGCGGCGAGGCAGCGCTGCCCCGGGACCCATCCCCCTCTTCAGCTGATCGGCGTTCGTACCAGCGGGGACTCACAGGTACCCATCTTACCCTGCGGGTTACAGGCTGGTGCCGTCGCTATTTATCCTGGGGCTCAGATCGTCCCCAACTCAGCTTGCGTGTTCTTTACACGTGCTCTTGTCTTTTTTTTTTTAACACTTCCTCATTTTCTGGTGCCGGACCATTTTCCAGGCTCGTTTTGAACTTTCTCTGCCCCAACTCTGGAATCAGCCATTTTTCCAAGGAGTCCTGGTTCCTTTGGTTGGAGAATGGTGTTTAGAAACCAAGATCTGAATGCTGGGTGTGCTCATTGCTACTGAGGTGTCACTCTGAGCTCTTTATCTTTCCTTCCTCCCTCCCGCCCTCCCTCCTTCCTCCCTCCCTCCCTCCTTCCTCCCTCCCTCCCTCCTTCCTTCCTTCCTCCTTTCCTTTTTTCCTTACTCCCTGCCTATCTTCCTCCATTCCTGAACTTCCTCCCTTTCTTTTTCTTTCCTTTCTCTCTCTCACTGGCCCCCACCCCACCAGTTGTCCAGCTCCGAGAGGACAGGTCCAGATGGTTCCCCCGCACCTGGCATGCGCCTGAGGGGTGACCCGTAACTATGAGTTGTGTGAAGGCAACACTTAGAACAATACCTCCACGTAGTGATGTGTCAGTTTTAATTCTCACTTTCCACTAAATGGCTGGATGAGTGGATGAGTTACTTGTGCTCTGTGAGACCAATGCACGTGACCCCCTGGTGACCCCTCCTCCCACCCCTCAGGAGTCCCCCCGCCCCGTGAGATCGGCCGCTGACGCCCACTGTGAGTGCGGCTTGGGGTGGAAGGGGGACGAGAAGGCTTGCAGCTGCCGCGGTCACTAAGAATCTGGCTGTGGGCGCAAGGGGGGTGGGCAAGGGCGTTCCTCACTGGCCGGGGCCCAGGCGGCCGGAGCGGGAGGAGGAGTGGGTGAGGGGACACTGAAGCATGAGCCCCAGATCCCGCTGAGGGCTTTGAGTGCAGGCCGGATGCGGAGTAGCAGCCTGATGCGGGGGCTTGCTTTAACGCCCGGTGGACCCTCGGGACCTGCCGCGGCGGAGCCAGGAGCCCGGAGCCGTGTCACACCCACAGAGAAGGCCCGGCCACACCCGCGGCACACCGGTCAGTCCCGAGGGGCGACGCGAGCCACACATGCAACCTCCCGCCTGACTTCAGGTTTCTGAGTAGCCACCTTTACAAAAGCGGAAAAGGAGTGGGTGAAATTAATTTTGACGATATGTGAGCCAGCCCAAAATATGACAGTTCAACAGGTAATACATACGAAGGCTATTAATGAAAGAGTTCATGTGTTTTTGTCCATAGAAGTCTCCAGAACTGGGTGTGTGTTTATGGGCCCAGCCCGGCTCGGTGTAGAGCAGCCTGCCCCTGGGCGGGGCCGAGGCCCCCGGGTCTGAGGGTTTCACGCCGCTTCTGGAGGCCGCCGGCAGTTTTTTGGGGGAGACAAGGGCAGACCCAGTGAGGAGGAGTCTGGTCTCTCTCTCCCCCAACTTTCACCCAAACAAACTCTCTTTGCTCTGGTTTATGTACCGGAATCCCAATGAAGATCTCCTTTGGAAAAAAAAATTGTTCTCTTGCTTAAAAAAAAAAAAAATTCTGAAACCCTCTGGTTTATTTCAGCATCCTCAGCCCGAGGTGACCCACCTAGAATGTTTGGACCTGGGACCTCGTGCACATTTTAGAGGAAAAGCCCCGCCCCCCAAAATCGCCTCTGGTGGGTGGAAGTGGTGCCACTTGCCCATGGGGACGTGTGTCACGCGACGGGGCCACGTCCGCGCCGGTGGCCGGGCCGGCGAGCCTCACAAAGCGGCTGTTGACGCGGCGGCCACCGCACAAAAGACACGCAGACCCCGCATGTAAGGTCCCCGAGGAGGCGGCAGGTTGGCATGCCAGGGCAGCCCCGGCCAAGCCCAGAACTCGGGAGACGGACGTCGCGTCCTGAGGAGCCCCAGCCTCCCCTCGGCTGTGCCGGCCGGGCGTCCGTCCCTCACGCGTCCCCCTGCGGCCGCACCTGCATCTCGCCCGCCGTCTGATTCGAGGGTCTTCACCTTCAAGGCCAAGGGCGGGGGACAGGCTTCGCATTATCAGGGAGCTCACTCGTCCCGTGGTCTAGGACACGTGCCGTCCGCACCCCAATCCCCGCTCGGCCCAGGGCCGTGAAACACGCCCTCTTTCCCCGGTGGGCCGGGGGGTGGGACGGTGGGC